GTTCGAGAAGATGAAGTCAGAGAGAGAAAGGAGAGGAAGAAGGAGAAAATAAGAAGAAAAGAGGGAGCAAAATAAAAGAAGAAGGAGATGAAAAGAGAATGATAGAAGAAGAAGATAATGAACAGAAAAATTGAAAGAATAATACGGTCGGAATTTTAAGACGTTACTCGAAACTTCCTCGACACGGGATTTCTTTGAGACTGCATTTGGAGTGTCCTCGAGAATTGACGGTATTTTAATTAATCTCGATTTTATCAACAAATGTTGATCGCAATTCTATCGAGCCAAAAATCGCGATGTATAGCGATTTAATCGCGATATATCGCAATTTTCAATCAATAATATTGCGATAAATTATCGATAGTACCGCTATAATGGCGATACCCAAACGATAACATCGCTATTTATCATGATCACTGCAAATTGGGCCATGCTTTAATAAGCATTTTCTTCGCAATGACAATCTCTTTACCTATTTGATGAACTGTTCTTGGAGATGAATAGTGCCACTCCACCTAATTTACATGTAGGTAAGTACTTTCATAACGTTCCTTTTTGTATTTTATCATGATGGTTGGAAACTATGGAAGAACATTCTACTAGCAAAAGTTGGCCAGATGTGACACACCTGAGCTATCAATTGCACGTCAGCTATGCCAACATCTTGCCTTCTCTATGCTAGGGAGATTAATTTAAAGACGACCATTCCTTGTCTTGACCATTTCAAACCTCGTGCACAGCCTGGATGGAATTTAAGCAAAATATGCTGACGGACGGGCTGACATCAACTTGCTTCTTCTCCGTACCTGAGGACAATACAAATTAAAAGAATAAATAGACAAAATGGCACTATATTTGCCGAGGGGGCGCCCACACCAACACCAACATACACCACGCACCCTCACATGCATAAGCAACCGAAGATATACAGACTTAAGACATTTCAAAGTATTGAACTGTTTAACGATCAAATCTTTCTTTTTTCGACCAATTTTCAAATCCTCCCTGCAGTCTCCGACTTCACCCGACCTAAAATAACCGTGGAAAAGTCTAGTATAGATGGTTTGGAACACCCTGCATAATGGTGTACGTGTAGGAAATGCCATTCGCCGTAAGTGGCACCAAAAATCTACAGCATCGAGTAGATTTTTGCAACATATCACCATTCATATCATTACACACCATTATC